TTTTGATTAATTATATTAATCTCACAATATGCTCATTATCTTTGTTCAATTAGCAATACCGAGGTCTTGGGGCATGGGGAAGCCACCGCGTGATCCCCAAAATTAAAATTAGTGCTAGTACTTGATAACTTGAATTATGGATATATAATTGCCCCAACCACTAATTCAGAAATCGCAATTATGATTCCTAGATAATAACTATGTGGCTAATATTAATTTTTGTGAGCTAATCACTTGCTTAGCGATCACTTGCATTCAAATTTAACATTTGTTAGTTAACTAAGTTTTAAAGGAAATGTTAAAACTAATAGTATACGAAGTATTTTATACGTGATCTTAATGATAATTTAAAGAAAAGATACTCATACCATTGCAAATATTGGAGTGAACTTAATTAATCTGGATTTATGTTACGTTGCAACTTGCAATGATAAGAGATGCAATGTGTTAGCTCATTATTTACTCTATTTTTAATAATAGTAATTTTAATAATAGTAATAGGGCCACCATTTGTCACTTGCTCTCATTATTATGAAAACAATACGGAATAGATGGTTCAAAATAATGTACCAGGAAATGATGTGCAGCGTAATGTCCAAAATTATATTGTCTGCGGATTTAATAATAAAGGTTCCAACTCTCAATGAAAGTATTAGCAAATGAAACCGCCGAATGAATGTTTTTAGTTGGAATGTAATTTGCTGGTCTGGTCTGATCTGGTTTGGTATGGTCTGAACTAGTCTAATTTGGTAAATGTTTGATCTCTGTGTATTTTATAACTTTGAAAGTTCGGTCTAGTGTGATCTGATCTGTTTAAGTCTGGTCTGATCTGAAATTGAAAATACAAATAAAAACATTCTAATTCATGTGTTATTATTAAACATTTAGATACATATGGATGTACTATACGGTCTATACATATGCATAACTTAGTATGTCTGATAATTGAAAATTTCATTTCATTTAAAAATAGAAGTTTATTCTATGTAACTCCTACTTAAAGTGCTCATTTTAGTGTAAAAGTTATGCATAATTAAATGTACTACTAAATAACGTACAATTTATGTTACAATATTGGGCTAATAATATTTGTTCATTTTTATGTTCTCTAAGATATAGAGTTAGCTGAAATTTTTCCAAATGGTTTTGAATAATGTTGAATGGACAATGTCAAAACGCACACCATTTTGAGACATAAAAAGTATCTCTCATATATATGACATTAGTTGAAACTAATGTCAATACAATCTTAGGTATTACTAAACTCACTGAAGGGTCCGGAATGACCTGTATCACTGTATAATTCTCCCGAAAGGGACAAAGTTAATAATTAAAGACACTTTAATTATACTCCAGTAAATCACGGAGAACTGTTTTGAGTTTTAAAGATGTGCGTCTAAATGGTTGTCATATTGAAACCATGTATTTCTTAGAACTGTATTATATAACGAAATATAATACGGAGAACTGTATTATCAAAAGAAATATTTATATCTAACGACAAATAAATCTGGCAACAAGTACATTTGAGAACAAACAATATATTTCTTAGAACTGTATTATACATATATCATTCCAATTGAGATAAATGTGGTATCTAAGATTAATTAACGTAATTCTTTTATCGTGTGGCACGACCATTTAGGTCATCCAGGCAGCACTGATGCACAAAATTATAGAAAATTAACTTAGACTTTCATTAAATAATGTCTAATAAATTCCACAATCAAGTAATTTTCCGTATAGTCTACACTTGTACATTCTCTTGGAAAATTAATTACTAGACCATCTTTACATAAACTTGGAGTTGAATCTCCCGCTTTTTTAGAAAGAATTCAATGAGATATTTATGGGCCAATTGCCCCTCCATGTGGACCCTTTCGATATTTTATGGTGCTCATGATGCATCAACACGTTGGTCACACATTAGTCTTTTATCGACTAGAACTTTAAGGTTTTGCATTTGTGAATCCCATTGCTCAAATTATACATTTGGGATCACAATTTCTGAATTATTTGATAAAGAAAATGGACTTAATAATGCAGGAGAATTTACATCCCAATTTTTAATGACTATTGCATGTAAATTGGGACTGACGTGGAATATCCAGTTTCACATGTGCATACACAAAATGTTTTTGTTGAATCCTTAATTAAGCGATTACAAATAATCGCTAGACCGTTATTGATGAAATCCAGATTATCATCATCTGTATGGGGATATGCTATATTGCACGCTGCAAATTTAATTCGGCTTAGGCCAACTGCATATCATAAATATTCCCCATTGGAATTAGTATTTGCTAAAGAACCAAATATATCACACATAAAATATTTGGTTGTGTTGTATATGTACCAATTGTTTCACTTTATCGTACATAAGTGGATGCTTAACGAAGGATGTAAATTTATGCGGATTTTAAATCTCTTTCAATTATACTCCATCTAGAATCTATGAATGGTGATTTATTTACGGCACAGTTCGATGATCGTCATTTTAACGAGACAATATTCTCATCCTTGAGGGGGGAGATAATAGAGAAATGAATCCACGTACGGAAGACATTACTTGGAATGCAACAAATTTATCTTATCTTGATTCACGCACAAATGTATGTGAACAAGAATTTCAAAACATCATTCATTTACAAAATGCTACAAACCAATTGCTTAACGTTTTCACAGATTCAAAGAAAGTGACAAAGTCTCATACTTTAACTATAAATGCTCCTTCTCGAATAGAAATTTCTGCAGGGAATAGTGAAAGAACTCTTGCTAATGAATCTATTATATGTAAAAACGTATTAGACCACTTGATTAAAGAGTTTTGAAATCAAGAAAATTTAAAAAGCAAGATGTAGTTTTCTGATGCCAAAGAAGATCAACCTTTTCAAGAAGAAAATGAACGTTTAGATTATTTTGGTTTTGAAGATAACATTGATAGAGTATATGGGCCTGGACCCCATGGCCCACATACTCAAGTCAACGATGACCAGAAGAACACCCACATGGCCCCCCTTCGGCCAGTGGGCCCGCATCGGCCAAAAGTCAAATCGACCCAGGAAGCACGCATGGGCTACCGGGGGGCCGCATCGGCCCATGGACCGCATCGGCCATGGGACCGCGTCGGCCAAAAGGCACCGCATCGGCCCGGCTCCGTCCAGGCAGAATGCATCTCCCTGTTTTATTTACTAAGTGTTGTACACAGCCCATTAGTGGCCCTATTTCGCCCAAAGAAGGCATGATTATTGTAATGGGCCTCCTAAGCCCATGGCTAGGAGCCCAAATCCACATTTTTACCTATAAATAGACCCCTTGGGGCTAGTTATAGGGGGTTGAGAAATATAATTACTCACTTTCTCTCTCTAGCTCTCACTTCTCTCTAGAACTAATACTCCATCAAACATCAATAATGATAATACCTGAAAAGAGGATCCAATCACCTTTGAAGATGTAAATATTCCAGATAAAGATGGAAACATCAATAATTTCGAAATTTCTATAAATTATGTTTCTACTAGTATACAATGGAACATAAAAGAACTCATGTTAATGATATGATACATTTTCATATGCCATTGCCACATATATATAATGAATGAACATGATGACAATGAGCCTAAATATATTGACGAATGTCATCATATCGTAGAAATCATTGGTCAAAATGGAATGAAGCAATTCAGGCAGAATTAAAATCCCAAGAAAACCATAATGTTTTTGAATCAATAGTCGGTACGCCAAATAGCGTAAAACTTGTGGGTTTTAAAAGGGCTTTTATGCGTAAACGCGACGATAAAAATGAAATCGTTAGATATAAAGTCTGACTTGTTGCCCAAAGGTTTTCTCAAATGCTAGAAATCGATTAAGATGAGACGTATTCTGACGTGCACTATGTCGTGGTGTGCACTCAAAATAAATAATACAATACAACAAATATACGTAGTATATTGAAGTAAGGTTCGTATCCGCAGGGAAAGGAATACTTCTTTTTTATAAACTAATAAGTAAAGGGGGGGGGGGGTTTGATTGTATGATTTAATTAAAATTGAACACGAAGATGAACGAGTTATGTTGTTTAATTAATGAGAAGAAGACTTGGCTTTGCTTTTATCCACTTAATGAAATGTTCGTCGATCCCGGTTATATCTTTAACTATCTTCCTCTCGAATACTCAATCGAGGAGTATATCCAGTTCATCGAGGGTAGTTATTAATAACGAGAAGCGTTCATTAACAAAACTTACTATCGAGTCAATATAGAACAAGCGCCGTATATTAACTTGATAGTTGATGTGAGTTTTCTCTCACTTAAAATAGTTGTAGAAAAGTGGTTGAAAGTACGAGTATCGTCTCCACAGGGACGGACAAAAGGGAATTAAAGATTAACTAAATTCAGCGATTAAACAGAAATAAATAAATTAAAATGCGATGTGCGAGATTTATTGGTTGAATTAAAATTAAAACTAATGCTAATGAGCGATAAAAATAAAAGATTGGTTTCTTCTCAATTAACGACGAAGGGAATAGGAATTGATTCCGGGGTAACCAGATTTCTGGCAGAACAGGCCTAATCACATGAATTTAATTTAATTGAGTCTAGCTAATCATTACTAAGTTCTTACCGCTCTCGCGGCGTAGAGTACAATAATTTAGGGGTCCAGGCTGATCTCTCATGCGACAAGATCCTAAATTATTGCCAAAACGAACGAGCTTACGGCCCCTTAATCGCTACTAATTTTACTTAGCGAACGATTAAGTGTGTGTGAATGTGTCCTAGAACAAATTAGATCTCTCTTAATTTATTCTATAAGCAATTGTAATTCTAGTGGCCATCTAGGTTACAAGAGATATCAATTAAATTATTCATACACAAATTAAACGGCATTCATGCAATTAAACCGACAAGAATCTAGCCATCAATCATGATTAACCCCTTCATCAACCCCAAATCCCTAATTAAACTACTCACAATTCATAATTGAAGAATCAACAGAATTGGGATGAATAGAAATAATTGTCATTAATTAAAAAGATGAAACTTACAAAGAATCTCAGGGTCTTGAACAAAATAGCGGAAAAACACTGTAAAACACGTCCCTAAGCTTCTCTCTTGGTTTCCGAACCAAAAAACGGGGTTAGGGAGGCTTTATTTATAGAAAACAATGAGTTTGGGTCGAAAAAGGACAGATCCGCGGTACGCACGGAGCCTACGCACGGCGTGCGTTGCGTCCGTGCGTCCGACGGACGTCCGTGTAAAAATAGGCAACGCACGGCGTGCGTTCCCCTACGCACGTCCGTGCGTTGCTGCCAGTAGCCTCCGTGATTTCAACATCTTGAACGCACGGCGTGCGTACCCGGACGCACGGCCGTGCGTTGCTGCCAGTAGCTGTTCTTCATTTAAACGCCTTGGACGCACGGCGTGCGTACCCGGACGCACGGCCGTGCGTTGTTCATCACTCTTCTTGGCCGCTACTGCCACGCACGCACGCCGTGCGTCCCTGTACACACGGCCGTGCGTGGCCTTTCTTCTTCATTATCTTCGATTTCTTCCGTTTTAAGCCTCCGTTTGACCACTTGATCGATCCAATAGCTCTTTCTTCATCAAAACATCATCGTGAATCTCCCGGTAGCCTCCAGAACTGCGAATTCACTCTCGAATGCTTCTAAATTTGTCCCGATCTCTTCTCAAATGCCGATGCCGGGTCCCAAAAACCTGATTTCAACTCTGATAATGCCAAAACTCGTACCCACGCCCGGTACACATGACTTGAGTTAAAATTGAGACTTACGACACCCAAATGTTAGGAAAGCCATCAAAATCCGACCCCAACACGCATCAAATGCGTGTTGCAATACGAACCTATCAGATTCCCCCACACTTAAGCTTTTGCTTGTCCTCAAGCAAATTGAACAACGGGACTTACATAATCACCATCCGGAATTAAAACAGTTAGCATGCACACGTAGTTAAAGGGATATTCACAGAACAGGAAGTTTTAAATCAAGAAAATCCTACCCTAAACTACATCTTTGTACACGAGCTAATAGTTTTGACCAAAACTATTTTACAACATCCTTAAACTAGTGACAGCCATCATCAATAAATTGGTCACCGATCAGAAGGACTTGTGTAGGCGGTGGTGAATGGTAAATGGTTTAAACAATAACAGTCCCTTTTCTCAAGAAATTGGAATATTATAACAGAGACTTAATGCATTCAGAAGTTTCGGGGCTATTCTTAGGATCAAAGAACTTAGTAGGCCACAAATTAGGAACAATCATCTAAACCTATGCAAAGAGTAGACATGGTGTACAACTAAGCTAAACCGTCTCGGCACTTTTGTGTTTTGACGTATACTTGAAGTACGCGGAGGACTAAAGCTAGTTTTTTTCAATAGCCTCCAAGTTCATTGATTAAGTTTAGTTTTCCTTGTCATGTTGGCACGAGAACGCCGTTTCTTTCGAAAGATACCCAAGTCTCATCTTACGCTTTTTGACCGGGGCTCCCATTCTCTTTTTCGTAAGGCAAGAGGTCTAGCTATATTAATTTTTCACCTTTCGGATTCTTACTAGACATTACCCCATTCTAATCTCGGCCTCACCAAGGAAAAATAGCAATTAAGGTTCATTTATTTCAAAGTGAATCCATGCCTACAATGCAATCCTCGAAAGTATCATATTCCTAAAAAAAATGACTGCTCTTACCCCATTTGGGGCATAGGAACAGTGCCAAAAAAATGGCTCCTACAAAGATTCTCTAATCTTAGCAAATTCATCCCCTAGTTTCCTAAACATCAAGACTAAGTCAGGCATATTCACGGGTTAAGAAAACACAGGCCATTTAGCTATGGAGCTCAATTAATTGGGTAAACAAAGAACGGTTAGGCTCAAAACGGCTTCTCCTAAGGGGAAAATTTCGGTGAGGTGGATGTTTTATGAATTTATTTTATTGGTGACTAATGCCTTCATCCTTTCAGTAACTAGAATATAGTGTAAGCAATTTAAGTCTAAATACTTCAAGGATGTTCTAAAAACATAGTCAAAACGCTAGCCAGCTTACAAAGACACAGTTTAAAGAAAAATTTTCGAAAATTTTGACATGACTTTCCTATGAATATACAACTAACACCTGCGCATGCTAACTCTAATAATTACAAATAACAACTAATGCCCGAATGCCCAATTCACTCCCCCACACTTAAACTTTGGCATCGCCCTCGATGGCCAAAAATGAATAATGCACAAGGGGATAAAGGGAAAGGGTCGCGCGTGCTCAATATCAACTCAAGTCAACAAAAGGCAGGCGAAAAAAATACGAGTAAGGAACGTAGAAACTCCCCTAGGTCTTTGGTCGGCCTTGAACTCAATCGATCCTTCATTCCAAACATCTAAGCAACGATCAATTATCAATAAAAGCTGCAATCACAACAAAGCAGAAAGAAAACATCCATGAAAACAAAGAGTAAAAGTAGTGTCAGGTGCTCAGTGCAGAATGTGATGAAGATGAGTACAATGTATCATAATCTAAAATGGGGGAGGGGGTGGCTGCTGATCATCGGGGAACTGTCTGTCCCATCTCTGCTCCAATGACGTCATCCTCAAATCAAGACTGGAGAAGCCTGCAGTGACATCGTTGCTCATCTGCGTGAAAAACTGCTGCTGGTGCTCAAAAAGTCGGCCATAAACATCCTCTATATGCGGATGCATCCCCTCCCAAGAGTTGGGAAACACATGTCCCTGGGGAGGGGGCAGAACGGGGGCCCCGTGCATCATCTCATGCGCGTCATCCTGCTCAGCCTGCTGGTGGCCCTCAGCGCCACCACCATCATCATCTGCGTGCCTAGCTGCTCGGCGTCCAGCTGGAATCTCCTTGGGCAGCGTCTCCATCGGATAAATATGCTCTACGACTGTCATCCCCTCCAGACGGTCTCCATACCCCATCGCCTTCATCATGCGTGTAATGTACGGGCCAGCAAAGATCTCCTTGACCCGATAACTAGCGTGCCTGGCAAAAAGTCCCGCGAAGAGAGCGCCAAAGATCGGCCTCCTCCCATGAATCATGCAATAGAGACAGAAGAAGTCAGTGGAGGAAACTTTGCCGCCTTTCTCTGCGCGGCCGGAAACTGTAGAACTCAACAAGGCATGGATGACGCGGTATTTGAGGGGATGTAGGACCGTGCTAGGCGAAGTCTGGGAGTTGTACTTGCCCCCATTAACCGTAATAGACTCCCAAAACTGTTGCTGATTCACCTCCGGCGGAAAGTCGAAAAGGCTACCCTCCCATCGGGCAACATCATCCAAATGATCAAAACCTAAGTGCCCAGTGATGTCACTAGCTGAGAACACATGATCCTCCCCAAAGGCTCTGAACTTGATCACTGGGAGAAAATTGTTGGTAATCTCCCTTGGAGCCCTGAAAGAAGAAAGCACCTCACAAGTTATCTCTTTGTAAGTCGGCTCATTGATGCCGAAGAAGAGGTGTTGCCACCAGGCTCGGGACAATAACTCCATAACCTCGTCTCGTAATCCAGCCTTCTCTAGTGTAGGCAAATGGGGGAACAAAACTTTGCCTATTCTCCTTTGCATCAAATCCTCATATTTCTCTCGTTGAGCATTGTCGCGGAACTGAGGTTGGTAGGGTACAATCGGCTGCTGATTTCTGTTTGGGTTGGCCCGGCTGGAGCTAGCACCGGTGTTGTCCCGGTGCCTCTTAGCGGAATGTTTGGTGCGGGTCATCTGCAAAAGAAAAATATTCCACGAAGATTCCAACGGGGCTTCCACAGGTGAAAAAAAAAAAAAACTAAGAGTTCCAAAATCATAGCCCCGTTAGCAACACTACATCACAAGCACAAGTAAAAGCTAATACAAACCCAATGTTTAACCAGAATAGTTGAAAATTGAACTTTTATCAAAGAACTTTGACTAAAATTCAAATTTTCAACGACACACGGTGTAAACAAGGTCACATGTAAGAACCAATTATCACAATCATATTTCCAGATTAGAATTCTTCCCAATTTAATTAGCTAAAATGTCAAAATTTTGGGGAAGAGCTCAAAAGTTTCAATTTGGACAATGTTTAGCCTAAAAATTGTGGATTCATTCTCAAATAGACTAAACAACAATCATGTATCATCACAAGCAACAATTCACTACCTTCATTCTATCAAAAAGCATAAAATCCCCAAATTTTTCAAAATCAACCCTAAATTGGCCAAGTCAACTCAAAAATTAGGGATTCCAAACAAAAGAGGCAAATTCATACACTTAGAACATCAAAATCATCAAGACAAGCCTCAATTTGAACAAAGGAAATCAAATCCCTAACTTTTGAGCATATGCAAAAATCGGATTTTACAAAGCTTGAAACACCATTAATGGAGAAGGGAGCTTGAGGAAGAAGAAAATTACCTTGAGTGAGGAGAGAGGTGAGTTCGGCGGTCGACGGTGGTGGGCGGGGGTCGCGGCGGTGGAGCGGTGGTGCGGTTCGTCGGTCGCCGATGGGTCGCGGTCGAGGGGGGAAGGGGTGTGTTCGCGTGTGTGTCGTGGGCAAGGGGAGCTGCGTGCGTGCGTTCTGTTTTGGGGAAGCAGGGGTGTTTTTTTTTTAAAAATTGGCAACACACGGCGTGCGTTCCCGGACGCACGTCCGTGCGTTCCTGCCAGTAGCTGTCCCATGTTCTGCCTGGGCAACGCACGGCGTGCGTACCCCTACGCACGTCCGTGCGTCAATGGCAGTAGCTTCCCCGTTGAAATCTCTGGGCAACGCACGGCGTGCGTACCACTACGCACGTCTGTGCGTTCCTTAAGCTCATTCATCATTTTTTTTTTTGAAAAGCAGTAAAACTAAACTACTGAAGCAAAAATTAAGCTCGGGTTGCCTCCCGAGAAGCGCTATTTTTAACGTCGTTTGCCCGACACAACTATGCATTCAGGTCTCTAAATTCGTGACAAAGGTCACCTCACGCTCGCGTTCTAGCGGTCCTCCGTAGTATTTTTTCAGGTGATGGCCGTTAACTTTAAAACGGCCCTTCTCAGGATGATCAATCTCAGCAGTTCCATACGGAAAAACTTCACTCACTACAAAAGGACCGGACCACCTAGACTTCAACTTTCCTTTAAAAATCTTCATTCGGGGATTGAATAGCAGAACTTGACCCCCCTTACAAAACTCTTTTCCTTGCTTAATATGCCGATCATGATAGGCTTTGGTACGCTCCTTACTAATTTTAGAGTTCTCATAGGCCATAAGCCTCCACTCGTCCAACTCGTTGAGCTTCCAAAGCCGTTCACGACCCGCCAAAGACAAATCCTTATTTAATGTTTTCAAGGCCCAGTATGCCTTATGCTCTATCTCTACCGGAAGGTGGCACGCCTTCCCATAAACCAAGTGAAATGGAGTAGTGCCAATGGGTGTCTTATACGCTGTACGCAGTGCCCACAGCGCATCATCTAGCTTATCAGACCAATCCTTCCTATGGGTCTCAACAGTCTTCTCAAGGATGGTCTTAATGTCCCTATTCGAATTCTCAACTTGGCCACTAGTTTGAGGGTGATAAGGGACGCCCCCTTTATGAGTGACCCCATACTTTGCCAGAAGGCGAGTCATGGGATCATTCCTAAAGTGGGTTCCCCTGTCACTTATCAAAACTCGTGGCACTCCAAATCTAGAAAACAATTTCTTCAAAAAAACGAATCACAACTCTAGCATCATTTGTGGGCAGAGCTTCAGCCTCAACCCACTTAGAGACATAATCCACAGCAACCAGAATGAATTTGTTACCTTTAGAACCCGGGAACGGTCCCATGAAGTCAATGCCCCAAACATCAAATACCTCACAAGCCAATATAAAATTATGGGGCATCTCATCCCTCTTGGTAACCGGCCCGGTGCGTTGACACCTGTCACATTCCTGCACAAACGTTAGAGCATCTTTAAACAACGTGGGCCAGAAGAAACCACATTCCAACACCTTACGAGCTGTCCGGTTAAAAGAATAGTGTCCCCCAGTCGGTCCGGAGTGACAATGTTTGAGAATCTCAACTCCTTCGCTAAGAGGAACACATCTTCTAACAACCTGATCAGCACAAATATGAAACAAATATGGTTCCTCCCAGAAATAATACTTCAAATCAGCAAAAAATTTCCTTCGTTGATGAGGTGTATAATCAGAAGGAACAACACCCCCAACAAGATAGTTGGCGATGTCTGAAAACCAAGGCACCTCATCAACGATCCTCAACAGTCTCTCATCAGGAAAAGTTCCCTCAATATCTCTCTCACTTAGGGAATCAAGAAAGGGGTTTTCTAACCTACTCAAGTGATCAGCCGCTAAATTCTCAGCCCCTTTCTTATCCCTAATCTCAATATCAAATTCCTGGAGTAGTAATATCCACCGAATCAATCTAGGCTTGGCATTCACTTTTTGCATCAAATATTTAAGAGCAGAATGATCAGTGAATATCACTACCTTAGACAAAATCAAATAAGGACGAAACTTGTCAAGAGCAAACACAACAGCAAGCAATTCTTTCTCGGTGGTAGTGTAGTTTTCTTGGGCACTATCGAGAGTCTTTGAAGCATAAGAAATAGGCTGAAAATGTTTCTCTCGACGTTGCCCAAGAACGGCTCCTACTGCAAAATCACTAGCATCACACATAATCTCAAAAGGCAAAGACCAGTCAGGAGCTACTACCACCGGTGCCTTGACCAGTTTCTCCTTCAAACACTCAAAAGCTTCTAAACACTCCTTTGAGAAGTCAAACGGTGCATCCTTCTCAAGGAGCTTAGTCATGGGTCGGGCTATCTTAGAAAAGTCCTGGATGAACCTACGGTAGAAACCTGCGTGGCCTAGAAAACTCCTAATGGCACGGACCGAAGTAGGGGGAGGTAGTTTAGAAATCACATCAACCTTAGCCGGATCAACCTCAATCCCCCTACTTGAAATCTTATGCCCTAGGACCACTCCCTCACTAACCATGAAGTGGCACTTCTCCCAGTTAAGTACCAAATTCACCTCTCGACACCTAACCAGGATTTTCTTCAAATTCTCTAAGCACTCATCAAAAGTATCACCATACACAGAAAAGTCATCCATAAAAACCTCCATAAACTTCCCAATGAAATCCCCAAAAATAGCAAGCATGCATCTCATAAAGGTAGCAGGGGCATTACATAATCCAAACGCCATCCTCCGATAAGCAAAGGTACCGAATGGACATGTAAAAGTGGTCTTATCCTGGTCCTCGGGGGCTATGGGGATCTGGAAGTATCCCGACATCCCGTCAAGGAAACAATAAAATTTATGCCCTGCTAGCCTCTCTAAAATCTGATCAATGAAGGGGAGGGGGAAGTGGTCCTTCCGGGTGGCGGCATTCAACCTTCGGTAATCAATGCAAACCCGCCATCCGGTGACCGTACGTGTAGCAATCAACTCATCTTTCTCATTCCTAACCACAGTCATCCCCCCTTTCTTGGGAACCACCTGGGTCGGGCTGACCCAAGGGCTGTCTGAAATCGGATAAATAATCCCTACATCTAACAGACGGATGACTTCCTCCCTGACCACCTCCTGCATATTAGGATTCAGTCTCCTTTGTGGCTGCACTACCGGTTTAGCATTATCTTCCATCAAAATTTTATGAGTGCAGAAAACAGGACTGATTCCTTTCATGTCAGAAAGTTTCCGGGCTAGAGCTTCCCTTTGTTCACAAAGTAAGTCAAGACATGCAGATTTTTGGGATGGCTCAAGCCCGGATGCAAGAATAACAGGGAGGTCAGGACTATCATCAAGAAACGCATACTCAAGGTGGGAGGGAAGAGGCTTTAGATTTAATGGAGAAGGAGTAACAATAGAAGAATCAGTCTGACAGTCTTCCTTCTCCACCTTATCTAAGTCATCTTCCTTCCCCTTCACATCACTAGCATCACTTGAGTCCTCCTCCCCATCAAGCATAAGACAATCAAAACTAGGGAGGAGCTCAAGATCCTCTGCTGACAAACTATCATCCAAAAGAAGATCAAAGAAGGCTTCATCAGAAAGCATGTTAGGAATGCAATCCTCCACCAAAGAATCAACTACATCCATGTAAAAACACTCACCACTATCTTGACAGGGCCTCTTCATTATTTTGGACATGTCAAAGGTGGCAGATTCATCCCCAACGCGGAGGACAAGCTTACCGTCTCCAACATCAATAAGTGCACGGGCAGTTGCCAAGAATGGTCTGCCCAAAATCAATGGTACCTCCTGATCCTGATCCATGTCCAAAATAACAAAGTCTACCGGAAAAATAAATTTGTCCACTTTAACCAACACGTCTTCAATAATCCCTTGGGGATATTTGACTGAACGATCAGCCAACTGAATGCACATACGTGTAGGTTTAAGTGGACCGAGTGCAAGCTTTTCATATAAAGCAAGAGGCATCAAATTAATGCTTGCACCCAAATCAGCCAGGGCCCTATCAAAAGTAAGATCTCCTATAAAGCAGGGAATAGTAAAAGAACCTGGATCCTTAAGCTTCTTCGGCAGATCTGTCCGTATCACAGCTGAGCACTCCTCATTAAGCGTCACAGTAGACGCTTCTTCCAGCCTCCTTTTGTTCGTGAGCAAATCCTTCATAAACTTCGCGTACTTCGGCATCTGAGCTAGTGCATCCACGAATGGTAAGTTAATCTGCACTTGTTTCATGAGATGCAGAAACTTACCAAACTGGTCACTATCGTTCTTCCTAGTCAATCGCGCCGGATAGGGGAGAGGTGGGGTGTAATTCGTGACCGGAACGGGCTGTTTTGGTGCAGTCACCACCCCTCTTCCCTCATCTTTCTCCTTCTCTTCCTCTCGGACAGCTGGTTCAACTTGAACTTCATCGGGCTTCTTTGTTATGGCAGCAGGTTCCAGCTCTTTTCCACTCCTCAAGGTGACTGCCTGAACATGTTCTCTGGGATTTGGTTCAGTATTACTAGGGAGGGATCCCTGAGGCCTCTCAGATAAAGCCTTTGAGATCTGCCCCATGTGAGTCTCCATGCTCTGCATCCTTGCCTCAAACATTTGCATCCTTGAGTCTGCTTTCAGCTGATTTTGTGCTAATTTGTTGAGCACTTCTTCCAAGCTAGAAAATTTTTGCTCAGTCTCCTTTCTGAAGCTTCCTTGCGCCGGCTGAGGAGCTTGTTGCTGGCCTTGAGGTATCTGCGGCTGATTATAGTTTCTAGAATGCTGTTGATTTCCTTGCCCGTATTGTCCTTGCTGCTGCTGTCCGTAGGGCTGATTATAGTAACCCTGTCGCTGATAATACATCGCATCCACTTGCTCTACTCCAGGGGCTGCCGAGTGTGCCATCATTGTGCATTCATGTGGCGAATGGAGTCCCCCACACATAGTACAAGAGGGACTAATAGGAACGGGGGCTACCATATTCACACTGGACACCGAGAGAGCAAGTTCCGTCTTCTTTTGATTGTCTTCCACTGTAGTAGCAAGCTTCTGAATCAAGCTGGTCAAAGCATCTACCCTTGCAGAAAGGGCAGAATTCTCACTGATCTCGTACAATCCCGGGGCCTTCTGGTGAGGTGTGTCCCGAGAACTGTACCATGAAGCATTATTCGACACAATCTTCTCCACCAATTCTTCCGCAACCTCAGATGGCAACTGAGGAAAAGCTCCACCTCCCGAAGCATCAAGCATCATCTTTCCTTCATTGTTGAGTCCACTATAGAAACAAGATAGAACCTCACAATCAGTCATCTTGCCTTGAGGGCAAGCTCTTCTCATCACCTTGAATCTCTTCCACGCCTCAGCTAGTGTCTCCAAAGAACCTTGCTTGAATTCCTGTAGCTACTTCTTCAATTTTATGGCCTTTGATGTTGGGAAGTATTCTTTGATGAAGGCTTTGTGCAGCTGATCCCAAGTCTGAATGTGGTGATGTGGATTGCTATCCAACCACCTCTGCGCGTCATCCCTCAAAGAGAAAGGGAATAATAGCATCCGTACCTGATCATCATCTAGCCCAGGAATTTTGAAAGTCTGGTACATCCTCAGAAATTTGGTAATGTGTGCCACTGGATCTTCCGTAGGGCTCCCTCCAAACTGATTATTTAGGACCATATTGATCACTGTCGGCTTGATCTCGTAACGGGGTGCAGTAATCCCCGGTACCTGAATACTGTCATACTCTGTGATCTCGGGGGCTAAGAAGTCTGAAATGCTCTCTCCTTGATAGAGTGGATTGTCATGTGGAACATAGTTGTGGTAAGGAGGAGCTTGATATCTCGGCTGATGAACTGGTTGTGGTCTTATGGGTTGTGGACGGATGATATTTGGCTGAGGTTGGGTTTGATGGAATTGTTGATATTGGGGTTGGAAAGGCTGATTTTGTGGCTGAGTAGGCGGTGGATTTTGTGTGACTGGCAGTTGGTTCTGTCTGGGCTGAAAAACCGGATTATTTTGCCCTAGACCTTGCATCCCAAAGGTTTGGTTTTGAAAGGTGGGTTCGGGAGCAATAGAAGTGTTTTGAAAGAGCTGATAGAGTGGTGGAAGATTTAGTTGTGGAGTGGACTGATTTTGGGGGAAGAATGGGGTACGGAGATTTTGATACCCCGGATAAGCTCTAGGTGAATTTTCTTGTGAAGACTGGGGAGAGGTATTGACATAAAAATCCAAATTACCAGAAGTGGTTTGGACCTCAGACGTCCCAGCTATTCCAGATGCGGATGGTTGATCCATGGTTGCTTTCTGTTCTCTAAAGGCCTTGTGGTTCTGCTTAGCTAGCTTCTCGATCTCAGGATTAAGAGGGACTAGTGATTCTCCCTTCTTAGAGCGTGTATGCATAAACAGATCTGACCTGCAAGGTTAGTAGACAAAAATCCTACGAAAAACTAAAAACAGGTCGCTAAAATTAATTAACCCTTAAATCCGACACCGTCCCCGGCAATGGCGCCAAAAACTGATGTGAGTTTTCTCGCACTTAAAATCTAAAATATTATAAAAACCAATGAAGGTTAGGGTATTTTTGGTATGATAAATGTGTTGGTGTAACATCATAGCTTTATGCAATTGTACTCAAAGCTTGATTAGTTGTGTTGAAACTTTTCCCTCGTCTCTCCCTCAAAACGCCGGGCACTTGTACTCAACGCTTGATTAATTGTATTGAAACTTTTCCTTTGTCTTTCCGTCAAAACGTCTGACATCCTCCTCTCCACTCAACCCACCTCATCAGTTTCTTTTCGTTCCAGCTCATTGAGACCCTAGAGATTGGCTTGGTTAGACACCGAGGATCACAATTGTCCCGCTTACAGGGAAGCAGGGGTTTGCGTTATTCGCTTTCTTTGTTTCCTTTAGTCTTCTCCTTGAAGCGGAAGCTATAAATATCATCTTTTAATGAAATTTGATGATTTCTTTTATAACATTACAGTTGATCTATTCTTTGATTGTATTATTAAGGAGCTCACAACTAGAAGAAAACCAAACCCATTAAGCTTTTAGTTTATATCAACTGTAGTTTAATTGTTAGATCTATAATAAATATATCCTGAAACGCATTTCTTAATCTTTCAAGTTAATATAATTGGCACACCATGTACTTCAATACTCATTAGTAGAGTTAGATTTCAGTATATTAGTTGCGATTTGTGAAGTATTCCATTTGTACCAAACTACTACCAACAAGGACTTTATTGACTACTATACTCAACACTCAACATCCAAGCCTTAGCTTAGTCCCAAACGATATTGGGGTCGGCTAACACTCACCATGTACTTTATTGACTACTATGTGTTTGCAAAATTGTCTAGGAGACACTTTTAGGTGGTTTAGATTATTTGGATTTCTTTCAGTAACGTAGGTGTTTAAATATGATATTTGCGCCAATTATTTTAATAAATCTGTGTACAAAAAGGTAGACTCTAGATTAATGCGGTCAAATAGTGAAAGTGAAAATGATATATGCAATAAAAAACTTTTGCCTGGAAATAGTTTACTATTTTTCAAGATGTTCTTCTTTTTAAAATGGATTGATGAGGACATTGATTTCCTTTTTTCATATTTTTGGGTACAGAAGAGCTGGACCAGGACAATTTATATACTCTGATTCCAAAACAACTTTTCTAAATTAGACAGTATGTACTATGTGAGCACATGTGTGATCTTTACAAGTGGTTGTTTGGAGAGTTTAATAATTTTGGACTAAGACTAAGGTTGAAGTATTTATAGTACTAGCAAAAGAGCAAATTTAGTCTAGGAACTATTAATAACTACGTAGTATAATAAAGCTCCTACATAATACATAAACTGATAAAAGATCTTTTTAATTATCAAAAAAAATGTATTAGAAGTTACTTTTGTATAGTTTTGAGTTGAGGGAAGATATCGTACTTCAATAAAGACTAGAAGAGCATGAAACTTTGGAGCAATATAAAGCAAGAAACCAGTATTTCCAGCAAACTGATCAATATATCCTTCATTTCCGGTGTACACAAAGATTGAGGCTCCCTAATGATGAGGTACTTCTGGTAGAAGATTTTGTAGCCTCGGGAGTAGAAAAGTAAAGTGGTCAAGAGTTTGGGGAAAGTACTTGACTTCATATGGCAACTTTGGGTCTGAAGGTTGGGCTTGTTTCTTCACTACTAAAGCTTTGTAGCTTCCTGGGAAATACTGAAATAGTTTGCCTTTGATGATAAAGATGATAATAATGTGTTCATTTCCTGAATGATTTGTTTTTGTGTGTGTAGTTCTGAAAGTGCATGTCATATCGGGAGCTTGTCATTTCGTGTTGTCCAACTCAGTCAATAGTTTTGAGGACAATTTTGGGAAAAGGGGCAAATAAGCCCTCGAACTAATCAAAAAAGTGCAAATAAGCCCTTTTGTAGGAGGTTCCGTCCGGTCATCGTCATTTGGGGAGGTTCACGGGGGAATTTTTTGATGAAATTTTTTGAACATCTTATTCATTAAGTCTAGTCTAGTCCTACTGAATTTCAGCTAAAAATTCAACCGGGAAGACAGTCAAATGAATTTTTGAAGATAACTGCGCAGTTAAACAACGCAGTATATTTCCGAAAATCATTTGAGTGCCTTCCCGGTTGAATTTTTAGCTGAAATTCGGTATGTCTAAACTAGACTTAATGAAGAAGATGCTCAAAAAAATTCATCAAAAAATTCCACCGAGAACCTCCCCAAATGATGATGATCGGACAGAACCTCCTACAAAAGGGCTTATTTGCACTTTTTTTATTAGTTCGAGGGCTTATTTGCCCCTTTTCCCGACAATTTTTTTTAATAGTGATTTGGAATGGTTGTCAAAAAAATAATTCATTTCAGAATGATATTCAAATTATGCATCATCAATTTCAAACCTCACATCATGCATGGCAAAATTGATACATGCATTTTATTAAACACTCTATCGTTTTCAGTTTTCCACCTTTCAGAGATTAATTTCAGCTTCTATGTACTTTTTTTTAAAACTTTTTTAGGCTAGAGAGATTATTATTTACTATTTCCCATTACGTCTATTAGTACAAATGTTCTCCAACCAAACATTGTTATGTGTGTTATGTGTGTTTTCATATATCACAAATGCATGCTACCGTTTCATGTGAACCTTACTCCTATTATGGTTATTATAATCATCTTGGCTGCTTTATTTCCATACTTACAATCTAGCATAAAAATACTTTATTTTTATGATTCTTTATCAATAGATAACAAGCTATATATTCAAATATTTTATTCATTTTACTCATATATTCATTCAACCTAAACGGAGGAACTAATGTCCCAGCAATAGCCTTGGGCATTACAACGAACGCGCAACGCGCGTTACTAAACTAGTAGTTGTAGAAAAGTGGTTGAAAGTACGAGTATCGTCTCCACAGGGACGGACAAAAGGGAATTAAAGATTAACTAAATTCAGCGATTAAACAGAAATAAATAAATTAAAATGCGATGTGCGAGATTTATTGGTTGAATTAAAATTAAAACTAATGCTAATGAGCGATAAAAATAAAAGATTGGTTTCTTCTCAATTAACGACGAAGGGAATAGGAATTGATTCCGGGGTAACCAGATTTCTGGCAGAACAGGCCTAATCACATGAATTTAATTTAATTGAGCCTAGCTAATCATTACTAAGTTCTTACCGCTCTCGCGGCGTAGAGTACAATAATTTAGGGGTCCAGGTTGATCTCTCATGCGACAAGATCCTAAATTATTGCCAAAACGAACGAGCTTACGGCCCCTTAATCGCTACTAATCTCTTAGCGAACGATTAAGTGTGTGTGAATGTGTCCTAGAACAAATTAGATCTCTCTTAATTTATTCTATAAGCAATTGTAATTCTAGTGGCCATCTAGGTTACAAGAGATATCAATTAAATTATTCATACACAAATTAAACGGCATTCATGCAATTAAACCGACAAGAATCTAGCCATCAATCATGATTAACCCCTTCATCAACCCCAAATCCCTAATTAAACTACTCACAATTCATAATTGAAGAATCAACAGAATTGGGATGAATAGAAATAATTGTCATTAATTAAAAAGATGAAACTTACAAAGAATCTCAGGGTCTTGAAAAAAATAGCGGAAAAACACTGTAAAACACGTCCCTAAGCTTCTCTCTTGGTTTCCGAACCCAAAAACGGGGTTAGGGAGGCTTTATTTATAGAAAACAATGAGTTTGGGTCGAAAAAGGACAGATCCGCGGTACGCACGGAGCCTACGCACGGCGTGCGTTGCGTCCGTGCGTCCGACGGACGTCCGTGTAAAAATAGGCAACGCACGGCGTGCGTTCCCCTACGCACGTCCGTGCGTTGTTGCCAGTAGCCTCCGTGATTTCAACATCTTGAACGCACGGCGTGCGTACCCGGACGCACGGCCGTGCGTTGCTGCCAGTAGCTGTTCTTCATTTAAACGCCTTGGACGCACGGCGTGCGTACCCGGACGCACGGCCGTGCGTTGTTCATCACTCTTCTTGGCCGCTACTGCCACGCACGCACGCCGTGCGTCCCTGTACGCACGGCCGTGCGTGGCCTTTCTTCTTCATTATCTTCGATTTCTTCCGTTTTAAGCCTTCGTTTGACCACTTGATCGATCCAATAGCTCTTTCTTCATCAAAACATCATCGTGAATCTCCCGGTAGCCTCCAGAACTGCGAATTCACTCTCGAATGCTTCTAAATTTGTCCCGATCTCTTCTCAAATGCCGATGCCGGGTCCCAAAAACCTGATTTCAACTCTGATAATGCCAAAACTCGTACCCACGCCCGGTACACATGACTTGAGTTAAAATTTAGACTTACGACACCCAAATGTTAGGAAAGCCATCAAAATCCGACCCCAACACGCATCAAATGCGTGTTGCAATACGAACCTATCAATAGTAGCAATAAACTTAAGATGAAAACGATTGAGATTGATAACCTCAACACAAGCGGTTTATTGGTTTAATCAATATAATTAATTCCCCTTAGATTATTAACCATGAAAAGCATGCATTAGCAATCCAAGTTTACTACCATTGAAAGAACCGAATTAATAACAAGCGTATTAACCGATTGATTCTAGTAATAATTAATATATAGAACAAGACTAGTTGATACTTTAAGTAATGCTCAATATATTAATATGGGATATGAATAGGAAGTAATTAATATTCAAGGAAGAAGATTAAAGAAAATAACTCACAACTTACAAATCATTAAGCTTCAAAGTAGCAAAACCAAGATGGAAGAGTTTAGCTCCTCATTTGGAGACTAAACATGATAAAAATGTAAAGAAAGAACTTGTCTAAACTGAGCTTAGAAGTATATGTGAATTGGTGTTTTTTTTGTGAAGGAAAGGAGGTGTATTTATAGGCTTTTTTGGGGTGCAGGTCGGGTACTCGATCGAGTACATATATGTACTCGATCGAGTATGTGTGGAAGGCTGAATTCGATCCATACTCGATCGAATTTAGAGTAGAATTCATAGCTATACCCGATCGAGTATGTCGGTGTACCCGATCGGGTATAGACACTCGATCGTGGGGAAATCTTCTTCTGCATGTTCCTTTGTTTTCGGATCCGATCCGATTTGAAATTTCAACCAGATACTCGATCGAGTATAGGGGATACTCGACCGAGTATAGACAAAAATCAGGATTTCCTTCTTTTGTCTTGTGATTTTGCACCTTCCTTTCACTTTTGGGGTTCACCAACTGTCCTTGAGTGATGTTAGACCTGTTTGAGCTCAGAATAAACCTAATCTAAACAATTTACAAGAATTCAACAAACTAAACTATTACACCGAAAGTGTGTAATTTCCGAAATACTAAACAACCAAAACTAACTAAAAATGTAAATAAACACACGGAAATTACAAACGTATCATATTCTCCTGTGGTTGATGCTACTGCTTTAAGATTTTGATTGACATGTGTTTTTGAAAGGCTGCAAATGCACCTAATGGATGTAGTGACCGCATATTTATACGGTTCACTCGATACAAACATATACTACGAATATGACAATTCTTGAAGGCTTTAAATTACATGATGTTTAAATCTAAAAATCCCGAGATTTATTTTCCACAAAATTGAAAAAGTCATTATATGGATCAAAACAATATGGACGTATGTGGTGTAATCGTCTCAGTGAATATTTGATTAAAGAAGGATATAAAGATGATCTTATTAATCCATGTGTTTTCAGTTAGCGATCCAAATCAAGATTCGCCATAATTGCTGTATGTGTTGATGATTTAAATATTATTGGAGCTCCCAATGAAGTAGAAAATGCTGCAAAATATTATCTTTGAAACTCTTGGGAGAACAAAAAAATTTCTTGCCATTTACATTGAACATTTGAAAAATGGTTTTTTTTACACATCAATCAAATTATATTGAGAAACACTTGAAGCAATTTTACATTAATAAAACACATCACTCAATTCTCCAATGATGGTCCGATCTTTCAGTGTGAATGATGATTTTTTTACCTTGTGAATATGATGAATAAATCCTTGGTCCTAAAATAATATATTTGAGTACTATTGAAACATTAATGTATTTGGCTATAATACATGACTAGATAATGCTAGCTTTTTATATAAATTTGTTAGGCAAATATAACTCAGTTCAAAGGATATTACATCTAAAGGAAAAAACAAAGCATATAGCGCCAAAGCTTTTCTCCACGCATGATCTTGAGAAAGAAGGAACGATTGAGGTTAAACAAATCAAGGCGAACAACAACCTTGCGAATTTTCTCACAAAATCTTTGATCCCGAAGAATTTTGAAGAACTGGTCCACAAAATTAGAATGTGTAGTCTTCGAGATATATGTTAAATTGAGGGGGGAGTACTATAATGCACTGCACTCTTTTTTCCTTCGTTCAAACTTTTATCTCAATGAGTTTTTCTTGACAAGGTTTTTAACGAGACATTACATTATAATACCATGAAATCAAATGTTGTACTCCTTTTCCATTTACTATGATTTTCATCCCATTGTGGAAACCATAGTAAAGTCTTTAATGAGACAATTAATATCAATGAATAATTGGAAGATGACCATTGAAGGAGTGTTGAAATATAATGAATTAGTCATCTCCTAACTATTCATGGTTAATAAACATTATTATCATTATCAACATAATTCAGAAATCACAATTATGATTTGGGTTTTTTACAAGAATATTACTAAAATAAAATATATGTACATAAATATGATTATTCATTACTACTATGTGGTGTTCTGGTAACTTTAACTCAAAGACTGGATATTCCTGTTTAATATTATACGTACTATCTAAATCTGCTAGGTACTAGACCTAGAACCAACGTACATGACCGGTCTGTTCCTATTAAAATTCTTCAATAGACACATGGAGTAACCAATTCATATAGAATAAGGATATTTTTACTTAGACCAAAATTTGCAATGTGTAGGATTCCCAATAGGAAATGTGTAGTTGAAAGATTTTGATCTATTCACATGATCATTTGGGTGTACAGCTTTTGCACCTAGTTTATGACCAAGAATTTCACCAGCTCTATTTGTTATAACTTATAACCTCATTAGCATTCATGTTACTTTGTGTACCACTCCTAGTCTGTCAGATCACCAAAAGAAAATGATCACTTAGTTTTCCTTCAGTAATTTCTTGGGCAGCTTGCATTGTTTGTCTTCCCTATAGATGGTTCCAAGATATATACTTATATACAACATAAACAGATCAATTTCTTAGTTCCCTCCTTAAAAACTTTATGCTCATTTATGTTGCCACTAAAGTAGAGACATATTCTCTTGTTGGGCAGGAATGCATTGGGATGGTTTGTATTGGACATGAAGAATGTGGAAAAATCTTGCGGCTCGTATGACTGATTTGAAATTGTAATTTGGTCACGAGCGAAGAAGATCTCTATTTTTTTTATTCAAGGTTGCTTTATTAATTATAGATTTTGAACGTGTACCCAACATCTCTCCTACGTCCTAACACAAGGTATGGAAGCTTTACTTAAGAGCTTTCATCCTATAATTGGAGAAATA